GGTAGTAAAAAAAAATAAAGTTCAGAGAAATCTGCAATTTCCTGTATATTCTTATACAACAGCTAAAGACGATAGAAAACTATATTACAACTTTTCTTTTGGGCAATACTTTCCCAAATATTGTGCATGGAATATTCTGAAAAGTGCTGAGTCAGCACTATATATATATATATATATATATATATATATATATATATATATATTATATACAAAGTGTATAACAATGTGCCCTCCGGCTATCACCATAGTAAAATGGTGACTCCTGCACTTGGGACACAGGACGTACGGTTTATATATATATAAAGTACGGTTTATATATATACGGTTTATATATATATATACGGTTTATATATATATATACGGTTTATATATATATAAAGATATCCATCCAATCACATTAATCCACCCACTAATCCAATTAGACGCTCTAAACGTCTCCAAGCTAAAAGCACGTGTAAATAAATATCCTCATTCTGATGAAGGCTCGAAGCAACGAGTCGAAAGCTCAATAAAAATCATTTAAAATCCGGAGAAACGTTTATCTTTTATATATTCAATGCCTGGATTACAAATTTTCAAACTTATATATAAAGTGTATAACAATGTGCCCTTCCGGCTTTCAGCATAGTGCAATGATAAATCGTATCGAAACAATGAAGAACATTCAAGTTTCTTTAAGATATATTACCTTACTTGTGTTAGCATTCAGAATAACCTAATTGATTCTCAACTCGTGCATAAAATCGTACGCACTGACCAACCATAAAGTAATCTATTACTATGTCCTTACTTGTTCTTGTTGTAAAACTTTGCTTTAAGATTGTAATGACGTGTGTCGAGGATTCCGCTCCTTGGCTGGTTCACTAACACTCTTTGTTTTAAACCTTTTATTTTACAAGCTAAACAAGCTACACAAGTACATCACTGGTGTATATTTACGCTATCTATTAGAGTTTATTATTTACATGTTATTTATACTATTGGTAATTACATTGGTAATTACAATGACGTAAAGGAAAGTCGAGCTTTCTTTACGTCAATAGCAGTACTCACTCTTTCATCGCGTTTCAAGTTCTCACCCGTTGCAACAAAAAATTTGCGTGTTCAATGTAATCTAGAAGATTCTTTTGATCAAGATGTACACACAACAAGGCATGCACATGTAGTGTCAATAACTGCTTCCCTTGTAGAATATTATATAACTCATGGACTGGAAACTATGCATAATTTGTCAAAAAGACACTGCAGAACGTCTACAATGTCCATCAAATTCAAAAAGAAAGGATGCAGGAGTTGGGTACACCTCATTTGCGAAAAATCTGCAAGAATTTATTAAAATTGATATGTTCCCGGTGAATTTAGACGTAAAGGGTCTCGATAGAGGTAATGGAATAGAAGAAACGCTGAAAGAACGCGAAGCATCATGGCATAAGTCATGTAGGGATCTTTTCAACAATACAAAATTGCAACGTGCCCTGAAAAGAAGTTTAAGTGCGGAGAAGACAGACGAAGAACAAACATCTGAAATCGAAAAAGGAAGTCCAGTTAAAGCCAGAAGAGCAAGCTTCCCTGCAGTTTCAAAGAACGAGTGCATTTTCGGGGATAAACCAGACAACTCTTCAAACCTTCGTGCAGCTTCAACGCTTGAGATAGACGGCAAAGTTAGGGAATGTGCTGTTTTGCTAAACGACAGACAACTTATAGCAAAAGTATCGAATCGTAATATGGTAGCAATGGAGGCAAAGTACCATCCTAAATGTCTTATTTCTCTCTATAATCAAGCAAGGGCAATGAAGGCTGAGACGTCAACAAACGCTGAACGTTCAGGACCAAGTCTTGATGGGATAGCGTTTGCTGAACTTATTGCTTATATTGAAGAACGACTAGAATCAGATTGTTTAGTTTTGCTTAAGATGACGGAGCTGGCAACATATTTTACATCCAAATCAAGCTTGCTTAACCATCTCTCAACTTATTGTCTTCAATTGCACATCACGCGAGCGTGAAGCGTCAAGACCTCATCACACTAGAGAAAAAGAATGTCCCGTACCAATATATACGTCCCTCAAAATTTATGGAACTACGAGAGATAAATCACTTATCGACGCTTTTTTCAAGTTGGGATTGTGCATCTCGTACGATCGGCTTTTATCTGTTTCTTCCGACATTGCTAATAAAGTAATAGCAAGGTACGAGAGAGATAACGTTGTTTGCCCGTCGAAGTTACGGAAAGGATTGTTTACAACTGCAGCAGTTGACAACATAGATCATAATCCCAGCTCCACAAGTGCACAAGTCTCTTTCCACGGTACAGCAATTTCGTTCGTGCAGCATCCAACAGTTCATGAAAATGGTGAGAGTAGAGAAGTAGACTTATTTGATTCGTCTATTTCTAGTTCCAAAAAAATTTCACAGCTTCCACCATCATTTTGTAATGTCCCACCAGTGACTCTAACATGTGGCGAACTTTATGCCCCTCCACTTCATACCGTTATGCAAACTGTGTCTACCACCGTCAACGAAAGGCAAGATCTGGAGGAAGACTGGCTTAAACATGTGCGACATCTCGTTCAAAAGGAAGACCTGAGTAAGGACAGGAAGAAAAAGAGTTTCGTCAAAAGATAAAGTAAATATGCAAACTCTGAAACTAGACTGTGCTTTAATTTCAAGATTGTATATAGCCAGTCAAAATCGAAGTGGTGATCTCGATGATTTCTTTAAATATGAGAACCAACCATGGCCCCATCTCTCACAAGCAGGAAGTTTGCGTACTGGTAATAAAGCAGACTTTACAAAGTGTATCGAGCCCATTACCAAAGTTCAGTCACCAACTCCCGATGTTATTACTTTAGACGGGGCTGTTGTTGTTCAAATGATTTCACCTGGAACTTGGGAAACGTTCGAAGAGTACGCTCAGTTTGCTTTCCTTCCTTATGTGTTAAAGCAATTTCAATCAGCTAAAAGAATTGAATTTAGTATGGGATGTATACAAAGAGGATTCGCTGAAAAAACGCACGGGAGAAGAGAGGCTTTGGTCAACGCCGCAAGGTTTCATCGACAGCAGGTATCCCTACTGACTGGAAGGGCTTCCTGCGCGTAGATGCCAACAAAATGGATCTATTCAATTTCTTAGCGCAGAAAGTTATTTCCCAGCAGATTCCAGAAGGAAGAGAAATTTACAGTACATTTGAAGAAAAGGTCTTGTGCTTCCCTAAAAGAACCGAAGTATCAATGTTGGAACCATGTAATCATGAAGAGGCTGACACACGATTGATGGTGCACGTGTTCGATGCAAGTGACTGCGGCCACCAGAGGATTGTTGTAAGAACAAATGATACTGACGTATTGATACTGGCCATTTCGATTGTGAAAAACATCAAAGCAGAAGAATTATGGATTCTTTATGGCACAGGAAAGCACTCGCGTTATATTCCCGCGCATACAATTGCATCGACTATCGGACCTGACAAGGCATCTGTTCTACCGTTGTTTCACGCATTTACGGGGTGTGATACTGTTTCCTTTTTTGGAGGTCGAGGAAAGAAAACTGCATGGGATGTATGGAATGTATTTCCAGAGCTAACATTAGCGTTGCAAGAGCTAAATTTGTTGCCAGAAAGGATTGATTGTTCGTCCTTGCAGGTAATTCAGAAACCGCCAAAGGCATGTATTATCTATCAAATAAGGTCCCTATTATGATTCATATAATGTTTTGCAGGTGATTGAGTGATATGTGGTCCTCTTATACGATCGTACAAGTAATCTCACCAGAGTCAATGAAGCTAGACAAGAGTTGTTTGCCAAAAGTCCAGAACACTGGATAACATTCCACCAACCAAGAAGCGTTGCTCCAGCACACTAAGCGTGCATTGTTGCAAGGTGGATATTTCTGGGGCAGTGCTGCTTGAAAGAGCAGGTTATACCAACTCCGTCAGGTTGGGGCTGGTACCGTGATGAAAATTCTTGGTTACCAAAGTGGACAAATCTCCCTCAAGTTAAAGATGCCTGTTATGAACTTATTCGTTGCGGATGCAAAAGTTCATGTTCTAGTCGTTGTAAATGCGTCAAAGCACATTTAGTTTGTACTCGTTTGTGTGATTGTGGGGGTGATTGTCAATAACATGAGGGCATTAAAATTATTTTAATATTACTGTTCTTCGTTAGGCGCTTTTCCAATGTATTTAAGAAAGAGCAACAGCACTAAACAAAAGTGCTGAGTCAGCACTTTTAAAACACTTTTAATGTAGAATATTTCAGAATGTATTGCTCAAAAGCAAAAGTTGTAATATAGTTTTTTTTATCGTCTTTAGCTGTTGTATAAGAATATACAGGGAAATTGCAGATTTCTCTGAACTTTATTTTTTTTACTACCGATGACGTCATCAAACACGACATTCGCAGAACTCGTTTTAAATGTAAAATATGGGCTGGCCCTATATCAAAATTTTGTGTTACTAGGCATAGTAAGAATGTGAGAAAGTTTCATCCTTGTATCATCAAAGTGAGGAATTTCGTCATTAACAGCTGGACTATAAAGCAAGACCACTCCATTGAGTTTTTTCGTGCCACGCATATCTTATTACGCATGTGACTACCATATTGGCAGCCAGTAAATTGCATTTTGTGACCAATAGGATTGACGATATGGCAAAGGGCAGCCAGTAAACTAATTAAATATACAGCAGCCAATTGCAAAGCGAAGTGGCCCTACTGTTGTATATTCCTTTACTGTGGATATGCTGACCCGAAGGAAACAAGAAAAAACTTATATAAACACTATTGAGTGCTTTACAACAAATAGCGTTTTGTATAGACAACTGAAAATTACGTGAAAGAGCTAGGAGAGTTGTTTGCAACATGTTTAGGTCGGGTTGCGTTTGCCTAAGTATAAAGCTAATTTAAGATTAATAGAGAATTGAGATATTTTCAGTGTCTAAGATAGAGAAGCAGGAGCGGGTGTATTTAGATTTTTTGTTCATTAAATTATTAACTTAATAAACCTTGTATCCTCTTTAATGAACGGAAGAATGCTTAAACTCTCTATCAGCGAAATTAGAACTGGCAATCCAAATGGATTCAAATCAGACTCTGGTCGCTGAAATAAGGAACTTTGAGGATCTGAATGAAAAGCATCAATCATGTGATCAACATTTCGTTGATCCATTATTATCATTGTGATCTTCTTTTGAAATGGCCATGTTTGTAGAGCATCGTAATCACCTAGAAATAATATCATACACAATATAAATATTTATAATAATATGATATAAGTCTTAATAAATCCCAAGGCATACCTTTCCCGTCTATCATCATTTATTTTCGTACATGATCAATAAAACTAAAAAGTATCGCATCTTACAAACAATTGTAAGCTTTAGTCTGCTTTTTCGGTGAATTGAAAATAAAAATCTTTGCCTTTATACTCTTCATACCATGTTCAACACTATTCAACAACTTGTTCCAACTAGACATCTAACTTCTAATCCTATCTATTCCAAACAGCACAAAGAGTCAAGTGACGTATTCTGAACTCTTAGAACGTCTCAAAGGTTAGGTGATAGGATCAAACATCATGTACCAACTTCAATCAGAAATAGAACGATTCCATCAAGACAACAACCAAAACGTGATTGTGAGAAAAATTAGTTTAATGTGACTCTGCGATAGGTAAACGTCTCTTGAATAACTCCCATTGTGCTGATTCTTATTCATACAACAATTTTAGAATCATTAAGAAATGCCATTCATTCTTTCAGTTACGCGTCATAGAAGCTGTTTTAATTAAGTTAACCAATCCCGTCCTTGCAAAAGGATTATGTTTTCAATTTATCTTTGTTTTGAGCGTCATCTCCCCATTTGGAGATGACGTACATTCTTTCTTGGCTTTACAAATATCGGTAGATTTTAAATTTTTATTTAGCAGACGTTGACATCTAAGGAGTGGTCTCCCAAAATGCATTGTGTCGTTTAATTTCACTATTAAATTATTACTTTTACCATTCACAATGGTATTTGCGATCTTTAGAACGATTTTCAGATTTGTCACCACGACAAAGTCTCTATTTTATTAATTAGTTATTAATTTAATTACGCATGCGTCATTGATATGGTCATGTGACTGAATTTGAGAACATGTAGTCGTAAGCTATTAAAGCTTAGTATTTCGTTTGTATTCTATATGTTTTTGATAATAAATCGTTGAGTAATTAACAAATTCGATGATGCAAAAGCTTGAAGAATCCCTTATTACAAGTAAATACACATGCTAAGAGATTACAAGTATTGAATTTTCTCCGGTTTTGTGCATACGTGTGGACAGGTGGAAACGATTTAAATACGCTATGTGTGGACGCAAATTTGTCCAGTTTTGTGCATACGTGTGGACAGGTGGAAACGATTTAAATACGCTATGTGTGGTCGCAAATTTCTCCGGTTTTGTGCATACGTGTGGACAGGTGGAAACGATTTAAATACGCTATGTGTGGTCGCAAATTTGTCCGGTTTTGTTCATACGTGTGGACAGGTGGAAACGATTTAAATACGCTATGTGTGGACGCAAATTTGTCTGGTTTTGTGCATACGTGTGGACAGGTGGAAACGATTCAAATACGCTATGTGTGGTCGCAAATCTGTTCAGAAACGGAGGAAAAATCTCCGTATTTTTAAAAATATGTATACGTGTGAACATGGAGTTAGTGCAATAAAGTCCTGTTGCAGGATTTTAAAATCCAATGCAGACAGCACAATCAGGGCCAATACGTCTGGGAGAAGGGGTGATACACCCCAAATCTTGGACTCGTAGGCAAATAGCAGGAACTTTTCTGGCGATTTTTTTTTATTATGAAATAAAAATACAATCTGATGTACTGAGCGATATGACACAAAAAGTAATATTATCAAAATATTAAATTGTTCCATAGTTTCCCAAAGTACATCGTGTAAATTGCCGTAAATCCTTCTCCACATGTCTTCATTTCTCCACATTAAATTTACGAATCCAGTATATTCGTATCTCGTATCATTAGGTTAATTAGTCCGTGTTGTTACCCGTGTGAAATTTATTGTATCGAAGAATAGTTACTAGTATTCACTTGCAATAATTACGAACTCACATGTCATGCCTTGTTGAATAATATCTTTGAGAGGAATATATGGTCTATAGAGTACAAACGTAATTTAGGAAATATAATATAAACGATAGGTGAGATAAGCACGGTTACATAATGACAATTTGCTACATACATATCAACACTGGTTTAAATGTTTAAATACAAGCACAGTGCATCAAGTCTCATCACAGTGTAGTATTCTCTCAAACGATATATATTTGATGTTTGCCAAATTCTGCGAAGCTTATGCTTGCGTAATGTCTCCAGCTGTTAAATTTCAACATAATAAAATAAAAAACAGAAAGGTTATGCGCACCAAACACAACGTTAGTTGTATTTACAAAATTTTGTTGTGCAAATCGATGAAATGAAATGGAAAATAGTCCGTTATAGTCCTAAGTAAACTGAATACAAAGTAACACACGCTGTGTTCTGGAGATAACGAAAAATAGCTAAAATATTTGCATCGATTGAGAAAAGAGGAAGCAATTAGTTCATTATCTTTTTTGTTTATGTGATAACAAAAGCTATAATTCAATATCAAAATAAATTTTATGGCCAAAAATGCACCAGCCAGCAACTATTATGGGTGAAGAAAGTAGGTGGCCCATCTATGGTAATGTCAAGATAAATTACTACAACAAATTTTGGCGTAAATTTGCATTTCTAAGCATCTTAGAGATAATTAAGTGCATTGTTAAAATTATATTCTTTACAAATTCATGACTACTAGTGTTTTTCTGAAAGTACTATGAATAAAAATTGACGAGCTAAAATTTATTTTTCAACGAACTCTGAACCACTACAGAAGGAAGTGTTGTTACTAGAAGATAGCAAATACAAGTTGGTAAGCGTTACGACCAAATTCAAATGGTGCCTCCAGATTTCTAAAAAGTTACGATATCACAAACAATAAACCATCACGGGTTTCAAAGTCTAAGATAAATACTTTGGAATTGTTCCTACAAAGCATTGTAGGTACCTTCGTAATACTGGGCCTGAGTGTACAAAATGCGTTGGTCGACTTATTGCATCTAAACAAAATAAACGAGTTTAGAACATTGTTTGTCCAATTTTCTTATACTCAAAATCGAAAACAATGCAGATATCAAACGTTTTAATTCCTTACTAACTCGGTACATATCATTTACATGCAGTAAATTGTTTCTATAATTTCATTCATCTTTGCGGCCAGTCCGTCATGTGTACCAAGGTCACTACGGTGTAATTCCCCAGTCTTCATATTCTCTTGTTTTACAAAAGTCAGGTTTAAGACCTTCTTTGTGCCCTTTTCCATCCGATACTCCCTGGCACACATAACACCATTGTCTAAATTTACTTTCCCAAAATCTTCCAATCACAGTGTCGTTAATATGACCTAAGCCTTTTACTTTCCATTCCAAGAACTTATTATACTCAGTTTTGTTGTTCATTAGAAACTTAAGTCGCTCCGCCAATTGTTTGGGTGACTTAAATTCTCGGACATTGATAATGGCATTTTTCAGATTTCCAGGTAAAAAATCATTAATTTTATCCGTGCTCATCACCACAGGTACTGCACCTGCGTTAAGTGCATTAAGAATTTTTTCATCAACATAGTAATCACAATCTTGGTTGAAAAACACAATAACAAACTTGTATAATTTTTCCACATCTTGTTTTGCTTCTCTAAAGTTTGGTGCCCAGCGTCCTACTATACCATCTTTATTATGTAAACATCCACCATAGGAATCGACATGAACATGTTCCATGAGATGTCTTATATACGCTGTCCTGACAGCTTCGCAGTTGGAAAGAGTAGCAATAATTCCTCCCGTTTTTTTTCTCAAACGGAACCGGTGGATCTAAATTTGGCTTTGTGAAGAGTGGTGTAGGAAAATCAGAATCAAGTCGATAGCTTCTCGACAATTGAAACTGTGACATAAAGTTGCCGTCAGAAAGTATAGGAGTATAAACAGGATTTTCCATACCCGTTAGGATCCAGGGAACATCTTTTGATGGAGGTAGAGGATATGGATCTCTTGAATGTACAATAAATCCATTTGCTTCTTTAGCTCGCTTATGGTCTGATGTAACCTCACAGGCCACAGGACATTCGCCTTCTTTGTCACCTTTGGCAAGTTTACTTCAAAGGATGCGGGTGAAGCACCAAAAAATTTACTCCAAAACAAAAGAACTATTTTACCTGTTCGTAATGGAGACGATGTTATATTTATTGCAATGATAGACGTTGTTTCGGACTTATAAGTAGACACTGTTTTAGATTCATTATAGAAATTGTTCCAATTTGATGAGTAGACGTTGTTTCAGGTTGACGAGTAGACGTTGTTTCAGATTTATTGGTAGGCGTTATTTCAGGTTGATGAGTAAACGTAGTTTCAGATGCAGGAGCATATTTTATCACAAACTCATTTTTGTAAAGATAGATGATCGTAGTAAAACCCACAACAAAAAAAACGATGGATATGCGGAACTGCATACTACATCCCTTATGAGATAAAGTGGCCATATTTACGTAAGCGAGAGTAGATCGAGGTGTTCGTAAAACCTATATCTATACAAGTTGAAACTGAAAAAGAAAATGTGATAACATGTTAGCAAGTTTTATATGTGACAAAATGTAACAATAAGTTAAAGATATATTTCTGTCTTCAACAATGTCAAATTTTCATGAAATGTTGTTAATATAATAAAACATTAATGAAATGGTCACTCGCTTACAACGCAATAAGCATCTTACATGATTTGACAAAACGTCTCCATTTTATAAACATGAGCATGCTATGTTTGCTACAATCTTTTCTTAAAATTAAACAGCCACGTGCATATATTATACATCTTATTACTAGCAAACAAGGTTTTTGGCTTGATGAAAGTTGACATTACCACTCACATGTATGCTAATTAAATGGACGTACAATTTCATCATAATTGTCATGCACGTGGGGCATCTTTAACGAAATTAAGTCATTCATACTCGTTTCTTACGAAAATTTCGACTGAAGAGAAGGAAAAACTGGAAAGGCTTCGTGCTAGAAGAAGAGGACATCGCGGACTGTGTACTAAACTCGAGAAAGAGTCAGTTGAATTGTTTCGAACTCTGAAATCTCCTGTAATCGGTACGTATTTCCAGCATCGCTCGCAGTAGGCAGCGTAGGATAGAGAGGCGCCGTCGACACCAGAAGGGGGCGCGGATGGCTCACACAAAGTCATACTGCTCCAATAGCAATGTCACTATCGAACCTAAGGTAGAAGATGTTGAAGAAAACCCAATAATGCCCCCCGCGTCAATCTCTAATGCAGGGTTGAAAACTGTGAAAGCTGAAACCAGCCTGCGTGGCTTGCGCACTTCGAAAGTTGTCTTTTCGACATCATTCACTTTCAGCCGGACTGTCGCAACATCGTTTACAGCAGCCGCGATCCTCATGCGAAGCACTCGATTCGAGCTGAGAACTGGGTCAAGCGTAGACCATACGCCGGCCCCCCTCTCCGCCTGCAGAGTAATACGCGCAGAAGGGCGTCCCACCATCGTCGCAGCTCTATCGGAACGATGATACTAAATCGCTTGGCGGCCTGAGCTTAGGTGAGAACAACCTCCAGCTGCGTACGGGTGGGGCGGTCCAAAGCGTATTTCCATATAGGGATCAAGCTCAGTGGATCTTGCGAACAAGGCCTCGAGCGTTCAATGTAGCAACACACTTGCTAGTGATGCGGCTCCCGTTAATGAGGAGCGCATTGATAAAGGCAGCCTCGCTAGTCATCTTGACTCTGACGCTTCCAGGCGTAAAATGACGATCATAATTTATAAGTTTGATCTCGGGTGTTTTAGAGTAGGTGTCAAGCAAGGCCGCCAAATCACGGAACTTCTGTCCTGACCCCGGTACCGCAAGAGCATGCTGTCTGATCTCCTGCAATATCCTCCTCATCAGGCGAAACTGAGGATGGCCGAAGTCGACTATGGCGATAGCGACCACCTCAAAGGGATACCTGCTGAGAAACTGTTGGTTTACTTTATTCGCAAGCACGCGATAGTCAGCCACGATGGCAAGACGCATATCCTGATCCGCTTGAGGCTCCCTGAGATTGGCTTCAAACCCTTGAGGGTTTTCCGTAAACAATTGTACCAGCTGCGCACGCGAAGTGAAATAGTTGCTTTTCAGAAATCTTCTGCATGCCAGAAATCTTCTGCATGCCAGAAATCTTCTGCATGCCAGAAAGCGCCCAAAGACGAGCAGCAGCAAGCGATCGAACTCCCCCTCTTTACGAGTCTGGAGAGAAGGCGCGGTTGTAATGAGCGCCAGGAGTTAGTTTTTCAAACGGACATCAGCGACGCTGTCGCGAACTTGGCCTGTATCTTCACATACAGCATAGAGCTTTTTTTACGCTTGGGTGTTTTTTTAAAATCAGCAAGCTCAACTTGGATGGGTTAGATCCTGCAAAGGGATGGGTTAGTATATACTGCAATGCTTTACACAGGAAGGAGATGAAATCCCGGTGGCGATTTGATGCTCCAGTCCTATTTGCTTGGGCCCCATTCGGGAGATAAACCAAGACCTCCATATAGGACTTATGTGCTCGGGTTGGTTTATGATAAACTGGAGGACCTCCATCCCCCGCGCTTTTGGGATGAGGAAGGCCGACAGATAACCATCCGCCATTCGCTCAAGTCGCAATGGGAGACCATCGACGATCCGGACTCGAATATGTTCAATTTTCTTCAAGAATCTGGTGATATCCCTCCTAAACTACTTTCTCTAATTTTAATTCTTGGTCAGATTTTTCTCAATTAGAGAGGACTTAGCGCGTTTGATAATGTGCTCGGGTTAGTTCTCGATAAACTGGAGGACCTCCAGCCGCCGCGCTTTGGGGATGAGGAAGGCCGACCTATAACCATCGGCCACCCGCTCAAGCCGCTGTGGGAGACCATCGACGATCCGAACTCGAATATGTTCCATTTTCTTCAAACATACGCTTAAAAATCTGGTGATATCCCTCCTGAACTTCTTCCTCTAATTCTTGGTCCGATTTTTTCTCAATTAAAAAAGCTGCAAAGCTGCTAGCAAGCTTAAAAAACTTTCTGGTAATGACGGAGAAGGCAAAGCTTTCACTGAAAGTCCACCGCAATAGAATTTTCGTCGCAATAATAGGCGAATTGCTGATTGGTGCAGTCCATAGCGAGGATCGGGCGCTCGCAGCGGGTTAAGAGTTTCTCGTACAGTTTGAAGAAGAGAACCGGTTTATTGTCCGTGCCACCGAAGAGCGTATTAAGAAACTGCTTCACGTTTGACTTATCTGTGAATCGGAAGAGATAGAGAAAGTTGTGTTAACCTTCATGTCCTTTATGTTGTCGAAGCTCTGGGAGAGGAAGAAGACGTTCAATTTCAGATGATGGCTATACATCGTAAAGAACTTATAGAGGCACTCCCTCTGTGTTCCGCATTTGAGATTCATGACGCGGATGTCGTCGATGATGACGTAGGACGCAGATGTCGTCGATGATGACGTAGGACTCCGGTTCTATTCTCGTATCCTCGATCAATTCAGGCATGACGGAATAATGCTTCAAGACCGTGTTAGGTTGGTTATATTGACCGGCGGAGGTGTTCGAAATGATGTACAGCCTTTTGGACGAACGTGAGCAAGGAGCCGTTTCATGAAGAAGCTCTTGCCCATATTGCTCTGACCCAAGAGCAAAACATTTTGCCCCCTATTTTTTGAGTAAAGGCAGAAGCTCGTCAAACCATTCTTTTGTGAAAATGAAGCCCGGGGATAGCGGGTATTTGTCGCCACCAGTGCTAGTATCGCGCGCGATAACACTTGGAAGAACAGAAGGCGCGGGCACCTGTGATGGCGTCGGGACGACTGACCCGGGGCGGGAATAACAGCCGAAAATCTTTTTTAGAAAGATGTACACCGCTCTAAATGTTTAACGACTGGCCAATGTAGGCGCTCGTCGGGGTCGAGGATGCGGCCCGCAAGGCCTGGGAGATGCTGTTGCGATGGGCTGATGGAAACGTGAAGCCGCAGCGGGCGCCGATGCAAGGACATTGGGTGTCAAACTTGTGGCTGACGATTTCAACTTAGAAATGGCCCTCGATTTTGCATGATTCACTGCTCTCTTGCCCGTGCTCTTTGCAGCATCCATGAGCATGCTCTTGAATTCATCCAAACCGCAATTCTTCTCTTGCCCCGTGGTCTTCCGTCGTGTCCCTGCTGTTCTTCTAGGCGCTGCGCGCTTCGACGCTCCTGTCTTCCGTCTTGTTGTCGACCTTGGCGCTGCGCATGTTCTTCGAATTGTTCTCGTCGTCTTGTGAGTCTTTCCAGTCTAAATCTTTTTGCACCATCCGTCGATGCTCGCGGGATGGCACATATTCCACCCGGTAGTCGTCGGAGGGGTGAGACATGTTGCCGTTAAGAATACCCGCGCCAAAGGTACTGTCAACGACATTCTCCCCAGCGAGCTGAGCGCACCGAGGGCGAAGGGGTTCGCGGCATTCTCCGCGTAAAGGGCCATCCTGGTGGCGACTCTCAACAGCCTCCCGCTGTGCTCAGTATAAGGAATGGATTACCCGATCTCGAGAGTTGACATCGAAAGCCTCCTAAAGGCCGAGCGAGACCAAAAACGGTTCGTTAGGGTCTGTAGCTGCGACAGCCTACCACATCTCCACAATGGGCAGTTTTGCATCAGCAACACGGACAACATCTACCCCCTCCATGATCCGGTCGAAGGGGGGCACCACCGGCTAACTGTTTGTTGTACTGGAACGCATGTGCTTGTCTTCAATAGCTTTGGACGTGCGCTCGCTGAAATTGAGGAAGCATATACAGAGCCCCAGCTGCGCAAGTATTTTCTGAAGGCCTTTTACAAGCGGGTCATAATTACGAATACGTTTGCAGTGCAGAGTCGAGAAACGGCTGTTCTGGCGGGGCGGTTGTTTATAGAAGAGGGTTCTGTAGAGGGGTTTTTAAAAAGATTAATTGGAATGTTCGGCGGAGACACTCTAACTAATGACCATTAGGTACTCGACTATGTGCCTCTGACCACAGGCGGTGTTCCTGACGATTTCGAAGCTGAAGAGAAGTCGCCTACGACACGTAATGTCAAAGCTGTCGTCCCGACAAAGCATGCTCGCGTTTCTACGGACGGAAGCGTTGAGGAGCGCCTCGCAGAGGTCTACTACAGTCCTGCAGGGTACTGGATGGGCCTTGCTGCTATCCCAAAGCTGGCTAAAGAGACTGGCGTCTGCGATGATGTGGCTCATGAATGGCTAACAAAACAGGCCATCTGGCTGATCTATTTGCCCGCACCAGCGCGAAGTGCTATTCCACGACCTAAGTTTGATATCAGCACCCCGAATGAGATCCACTAGGCCGATCTCTTTTTTCTGCCTCACGATCGAGTTGGAAGACGCACATTCAAATACGCATTGACGGTCGTCGACGTAGCAAGTCGGTATAAGGAGGCCCAGGCAATCACAGACAAGACAGCAACCCAGGTTGAGAAGGCGTTAGAGTCTATATATGCCCGTGGGCCTCTTCGATGGCCTAAAGTTTTACAAGTCAACCCTGGCTCGGAGTTCCGTGAGGCTGGGCAAAGCGATTTGACGGGGTAGGGTCAGAGTTCATAGGGATCAGGGGATCGTAGAAAGATTTAATCGAACTTTGGTGGAGCGATTGTTCGGTTATCAGTTTAACCGCGAGCTGGCTGAACCTAGAACACGAAACAAAGAATGGGTATTAAAATTACCTGAGGTGGATAAAGCGCTCAATAATGAAACTACTCGTTTGACGGGCGAAAATCCCTCCCTTGCGATTCGGAAGAAGAGCGTTAAGGCTAAACCCGTTGCGCCGGCGCTTCGTCCAGTTGGTTTCAAAGAGCAACGCTTGCCATCGGATGTTATGCTGCGGTATTTGTATGCGCCTGTTGACCTCGAAGGTGGCGAACGGCGTAAGGCGACCGATCCTATCTGGAGTGTGACCTCACACCAGGTCGAGCGGGCTGTAGTTGAGGGCAAGAAGCCCGTGTTGTATTTTTGAGCGATTGACCTAAGGGCACGTTTGTGCGCGAGGAGCTCCAAGTGGTGCCCTTTGGTACCGAAACAGTGCCAGCTTAGACGATGGGGTCCTGTCATGCTTTTTAACACCTTTGGCTTTCAGGATAGAGTACATCTTGGGCCTGAGTCCCAAAAACTCAGCGATAGGCACCCTAGCGCACTCGTCCTTCATTTTCCCAGCATCTTCTTTTTGGCTGTGCTGAACAGCGGATGCATATCTATGTCAGTGAGTAGCTCGAGCTCCACCCCCGTGTGCTTGAGGAGAGCGTCCCAGCTTAAACCCGGGCTCGTATAATATGGGGCCGGGCCTAGCTTGTATTGCTCGAGGCACAGTTTTCGGAAGTTCTCGAAGAAATCGGCGAGGAGGAGAACATCAGTCCGAAGGTAGAGGTCGTGGTAGTCGCCGAAGGTTTTGCAGCCGAAGGCGTCCCAGACCATTTTTCCGTTGGCATAGTCGTCATCGGCAATGCCTTTA